GACACGGCTTCCGAGGTGCCCACACCCAAGCCGCTCTCAGAGGGCTCCTCGGGTTGGCCAGGCCCCGGGCCCGCGTCACTACTGCTCTCCACCTCGTTTTCCTCCATGGGTTCGGGGGGCCGCCCGACCAGGGTGCGCAGGGTCCGGGGCCTTCACTCTGAGAGAAGAGGAGACAGGTGGGCCGCGTCACTGCCGCCGGCAACCACGGCCCACCCAGCGGCACCCGTGCGCCCATTGCGCTGACGAACAGACTGAGTCTCCGACCGGGCGGGTCTTTCTCGTGTGTAGAGAGGGAAGCTTCGGGAAAACGGGACCGAGAAGCCTTGCTTCCCAGCCCAGGGCCCTTCACTATCCCCGGGAGAGGGGTCAATGGCGGTATAACCCTTCTCTCCTCCCCTCCACGATTTTCTCGGTGTGGGTCGCTCTAAGGGTCCCGTCAGCGCTCAGTGGTTCCGCCCTTCGGCATTCCGAGTTCCCCCGGGTGCAGGGTCGGTGGTACAGCCCGCAGGCCCCCTTGGTCAGTGGCTCGCTCCCCCTTCCCCTACTTCCTTGCGGAGGGGGCTGACAGCTACGGTCCCGGGGCCTGGCGACTCGGGGCTGTCCCCGGCGCTGCCTGCGCTCCAGGCCCGACGCCATCTTGTGGCGGCGCCGGGTTTCCGCTCAGGCAACTGCGAGAGCGACCAAAGGGCCTGGGACCCCAGGGCCCTGTTCGGACAGCCCCGCCGGCCGGGACCTTGCTGCCGGGTATTCCCGCAGTGTGGGTCCACTTCACGGCAGGATGCAGTGGGGCGACCTGACTCTACCCGACGCTCACCTGACGCTTCCGTGACCGCGTTTCTCTCCGACTCCGGCATCGACGAGGTCGCCATCTTATTTTGCCTGCTGCGGAGGGACCCATCGGCTTAGCTTGAGCCGGAACTACTTCCTACGGCGACCTGGGGAAAGACCGGTTTCCAGTGTGCCGGAAGGTGTCCCTGAGGCCACAAAGTCATAGTTGAGTCTGGAGAGGGGCTAGGATTGATTTGTCGCCTAGTATGGGTGACGGAGCCCGCTACGGGTCGGGGGGACTACTTCCTCTCTTGGTGGAGGGTTACAAAGGGAGCGGTACGTCCCACTGTTGGGTTCCTACCTTGGGCCGCAGAGTTGGGCGCGGCGAAGGCCGCCCTGCTGCCCGGGGGCGTGGCTCCCAGTGGTTGACCACGCCTTTCCCGGAACTGCTCAGAAAAGCTTGCAGCGACCGGGAGGTTTTGACTTGGAGGTGGAGAAATAAGTGTTATCAGTCATTTTTCCTGGCTCTTGCCGGTTACTGAATACTCTCACCGAACTAGTAATCGCATCCTTCTCGATTAGGTTTGATGTGTCTTGGCAGATGGGGAACTTGTAATTCCTGTTGTGCAGGTGGGGGCACTGAGGTCCTGGGATGGGATGTGGCTGGTCCAAGGTCACTTCAAGTAAAAGGATTTGGGAGGCAAGTCCCAACGAGTTGGGGAAATGGAGAGGATTCCATACTTGGCCCTTAGTGAGCTTTGTATAATGCAGTAGTCCCCCGCTCTCCCCAGTGTCTTGCTTTCCAAGGTTTCAGTTACCCAGGGTCAACTGTGGTCTGAAAATATTAAATGGAAAATTCCAGAAATCAGCAGCTCACAGCTTTAAATTGCACGCTGATCTGAGGAGTGTGAGAGAATCTTGTGCCGTCCAGTTCCTTCCCGGGATGGGGGTCATTCCTGTCCTGCGCATCCACCCTGTATCTATGACACCTCCCTTTCAGTCACTCAGTGGCCCTCTCAATGGTCAGATCAGTTATCAGAGAGGGAGACCATGTTCCATAACTTTTATTACAATATATTGTCATAATTGTTTCCATCTTATTTATTGTTGTTAATATCTTACTTGCCTAATTTATACACTAAATTACCTTTATCATAGGTGTGTATGTGTAGGTAATTCACATGACCTATGTCCAAGGTTTCAGGCATCCACTGGGAGGAGTCTTGGAACTACCCCGCGTGGCTAAGGGGGGGCACCTGCTGTCTATGTTACACTAATCAAGTTGGAGGTCAGGACATCGTCCACAGCCCTCCTCTGCTCAGTGTAGATGGTGTAGATGTACTTGACAGTTTGCAGCCCTTCAGAAAGGTGTGCACCTCCTCCTGATGCCTGAAATGCCCTCTTTGGCACTACCTCCTGTTTAAGACTTTTTAGCATTTTGCAAAGGAGCCTGGTGCCCTGGTTTATCCCTAAGTCTCTTTGTTGCATAACGTATATTCTTCATTTGAAAAATACAATTTTTTTGGGGGGGGGATCTTAAAAATTTCTTTAAAGAAAACCTATTTTAAAAGATAAAGGGTGTTTTGAGCTGTTGTAATTTGTATGCACCTGAGCATGAGGGGGGTTCCCTGGTCCTTTTGTAGGAGCAGGTTTTGGCAGGGGGAATAGAGCATGAGGCCTCTGGACGGACTTGGCTCCCTCTTCTCCTCCTCCCCCCATCTGGCAGGATCAGGCCCCCCAGAGCAGCCCTGGAGAGTTGGGTCAACAATGGCATAATGACAGGTTGGTTTTGCACTCAACTGGTAGTTTTCCAACATCAACCTGATTCCTCATTTCTACAGAGCCCCTCCAACCTGATAGGATGCGTCCTGCCTCAAAGATGTCATGGTACTCAGTAGTAGTCCCTCAGTACCCATTCCTATCCCTAGTCTAAGGCTCAACCCTGACCTTGGCCTTTGCCAACAAATCACAAGATTGCAGAATGTTATCATACAGAAGGTAAAAGCCTCATCATGGAACAGAAGAAGAGCCCAAGGTCCAGAGAGGGGAAGCTCATGGTCCAAGGTCATGGCTCCTTGGAAACAACATATCAGAATGCCTCCATCACAAAGACAAGCAAGTCAACCCTGGTTTTCTGGCTGCTAATCCAGAGTTCTTCCCATCAGAACATGCAGTTTGTAGTTCTGGCCTCAGTTTTGATGGGAAGACTTCTAGAAGCAGGGAAGGGCCTCTAGGTCAGAAGGACATTAAAGTATACCTTTTGAGAAAAATGCTGAGGAGAGGAGCCAAGAGGGGAAAACACCCTGTACAAGTGCTTTGCTATACCATGTTATCTATCTTAAGGGAGCAGGGGGCCCAGCCGGTGTGGCTCAATGGTTGAATGTCGACCTATGAGTCATGAGGTCACAGTCTGATTCCCGGTCAGGACACATGCCCGGGTTGCAGGCTCGATCCCTAGTGTGGGGTGTGCAGGAGGCAGCCAATCAATGATTCTCATTACTGATGTTTCTATCCTCCCTTCCTCTCAGAAATCAACAAAAATATATTTTTAAAAAATACTCTGTACCTAGTCATTTTCTAAGCATTTTAATCTACAAGTAAGGGGTGGAGCTGGGATTGAAAGCCAGCAGTCTGGCTCCAAACTTCATGCTTAGAACCTGGTATCATTGCTCATCTAGTAATAATAATACCTGGGTCTTAGATGATACTTTCCGGAATTAGGCAGGATGGTTACTATTTTTCCTTTTTGCAGGTGGGGAAACTGAAGCCCAGAGAGAAAAGCTGAGTGGCTCAAAATCCCACTACAAGTTTCCTAGTGTAATGCAGAGGACTGCGATTCCAGCCAGATCGCCTGCAGCAGATAGTCATCATACAAGCAAATGTTTATTGTGCTCTTACCAAGTACCAGGTACTGCAGTAGGTCCTTTACATGCATTTCTAAACTAATCATCACAAGTAGAGATCCTCCTAGGTATTCTCAAGATTTCCATGTTACAGACAAAGTAACAGAAGCTCAAGAGAAATGAAATGGCTTGTCTGAGGTCATGCATTTGCTGGCCAGCAGATCTGGGGTTCAAACCCTGGTGTCCTGACTCCCAGTCCCATGCTTCTGCCTTTGTGCTAGATGCCACAGGGGGGCAGCAGAGCGGAGAGTAGGCAGTCGGCAGGTGGGTGCTCTGGGACTCATCTCTACCTTCTCTCACCCTGCCACTGCCATCTATGAGTTTAGCTAAACCTGTGCTTAAAACTGTACCACCGCTTGGGATAATGAGCCGCATAAGTTGACTCCCCATGGTGTAAATTAAAGCTTCCTTTAATTTCTCCTAAATCTTTCTCTTTCAGTATTGGAGGGGATAGGGGGTGGTGGCGAAAGACCCTAGGACAAGAACAGTTGGTTTCAGAAAACAGTCTGTAGTCCAAATAGTGTTTGCTTGTGATGGCAATTCCTGAGACACAAACAGCAGGTGACATTTATGTAAACATCTCATCTGAGCATTACAGAGGCATGAGAGTAAGCAGCGCCTGGATTTTCATGTCTTTCAATCTGTCTTGTTTCCTATATTCCCACTTAACACAGTTTATAGTCACAAGAAAGCTACTAGATACTTACTCGTTGAATGAATGAACCCCATTCTATAGACAAGGAAACAGAGACACAGTAGCAGGGATCTAGCTAGGAAAATAAGACTATGCCAGACGATTCTGGGAAGAGGGAATCTAATATGGCTACTTAGTTACAAAGTTGGTGGGCAGAAAGAACAACCAGGAGAAGTTGAAGCAAATTTGAGATTAGTAACTCAGGAAGCCACAACCTTCCCTGCGGCTGGATCTATAAAGGGAGGAGATGGCATTTCCAAGACCAAGAACTGGGGCCACCCAGAGAGGAGGAGCTGGGGCCATGATGGGCCTTAGTATCAGGAGCTAAAACCACAGAGGAAACACTGTAGCTGCTGAAGCTACCCCCGCCCTCAAAATGAGGTACAGTGAAACAAAATGAGCTATAATTAGCATTGGCTAATTGATATAAACAATAGCTAAATTAAGTTCCTATAACGAAATGAAGTTGAATGAAATGACTATTCAAGGACCTGCTGTGTATGAAACAGGGATCTTATCTTATTTAATACTGACGGCTATTACCAAGAACAGTTACTGGTACATAGTAGGTGCTCAGTTAATCTCCAGCCATTGACCAAAGAGTTATATATGATACTGTTATTCTGCCTGTGAGCCCAGGGCTTGTATACCCTTTCCCTCTGCCCCAGGCACAACAGAGAATGTGTGTTCTACACTCACCCAACCCTGGCTCAGAGACCTCTCATACAGCTCAAGGGACCATCTTGGAGGGGAAGGTGGTGACTTCTGGGCCTGTGAGGAGGGGGCATGCACAGCAGATGAGAGTCTGCAGCACAGAACTAACAAAGGGAGCTAACATTTACTCAGCACCCACTGTGTACCAGATGCTTATACACTTTATTGCATTTTATTCTCACAGGAGCCTGCAAAGCACAGATCATTTTCCCCATATTAGAAGTGATGAAATGGGAGTTCAGGGAGGTGAGGATGTTTGTCCAGCTGGATTTCAACCTTGAATTGTCTGGCTCCAACATCTTGCTCCTTCCAAGATACCAGCTGCCTCCTACCGAGGGCAGGGGAATGGAATCTGACTTCCATGTCATATAGAAAGCTCCATGAGCCAATGCTGAGGCCAGGTTTCAGATGAGTGACAGCTTGAGAACACAACTTTGACAGCTGTGCTGAGGCTGGCCTGGAAGCAAGTGGTGCTAAACTTGCATTCCTAGGAACAGGAGCTGTGATCATAAAGATGAGAGATGGCCAGGGGCTGCAGCAGGGCGCTGCAGAGGTGCTGGGCCCTGAACAGAATGTCCTTGGGCTCTGCTCCCAACAGGAAAAGCTCCCTACGAACTGGCTCTGTGACCTTGAGCAAGTCATTCAACCATCTCAGATCAATGCCCTAACTTGTCACAGGGTCACCATGCCTGCTGGGTTGCCATGGAATTACATCAGATAATGCAAGGAGACAGAACTGGGGCAAGTCCGGGCCAGGGCTCCAGTACTAATTAGTTGTATGATCTGAGGCAAGTCACTTCACTTCTCTGAGTCTCAGTGTTCCCAGCTGTATAACAGGCATAGTACATGCCCCCAAATTGCCATGAGAATGCAGTGATTGAAAGCATGGGCTCTGCTCTAGCCAGTTTGGCTCAGTAGATAGAGTGTCGGCCTGCGGACCAAAAAGTCCCGGGTTCAATTCCAGTCACGGGCACGTACCTTGGTTGCTGGCTCCTCCCTGGCCTGGGCCCTGGTGGGGGCTGGTGCAGGAGGCAATCAATCAGTGTGTTTCTCTCACATTGATGTTTCTGTCTTTCCCTCTCTCTTCTACTCTCCCTAAAAAAAAAATCAATGGAAAAATATCCTTGGGTGAGGATTAAATAACTAACTAAATAAATAAATTTAAAAAAGCATAGGCTCTGGCCAGTGTGGCTCAGTTGGTTGGAGCATTGTCCTGTGCACTGAAGATCTTCAGGTTTGATTCCTGGTCAGGGCACATACCTAGGCTTTTAAAAAAATAGATTTTTATTGATTTCAGAGAGGAAGGGAGAGAGAGAAACATCAATGATGAGAGAGAATCATTGATTGGCCGCCTCCTGCATGCCCCCTACTGGGGATCAAGCCCAAAACCCAGGCATGTGCCCTGACCTAGAATCTAACCGGTGACCTCCTGGTTCATGGGTTGACATTCAACCACTGAGCCACACCAGCTGGGCTGTTTCAGTTTCAATCCCAGTTGATCCCTGGTGTATACAGGAGGCAACCAATCGATGTCTGTCTGTCTGTCTTTCTCTCAGTCCTCCTTCCTTCCTCTCTAAAATTGATTAAAAAACAAAAAAGCATGAGCTCTGGAGTGTAATTGCCTGGGTTCAAATCATGGTTGTGACAAGCTGTGAGCTGTGAGCCTTTGATTGATCTCTCTGTGCCTCAGTTTCCTCCTTTGTAAAATGGGGGTGAACATAAGCACACTCACATCATGAGTCGTGATGATCAAATGATATAGTCAGTCAACAGAAAGAGCACAGAGCAGTTCCTGGACCAGTAAGCTCTGGATCACTGTGAGAAGTCATTAGCCCTGGGACTGGCATCTGATAGCAACTAGAGCTGCAGGCACCCCTTTAAACACTAATCTTCAAAGCAGGCCTATGAGGTAGGTAACATTACTGTCCCATTTTATTCATGAGGAACTGAGTTATTCAGCGGTCCACTGATTTGCCTGAGGTCACACAATGATCAGAGAATAAACCAGGATTTGAGCCCGGCAGTTTCTCAACCACACACTCTTTTATCCCTAATAAAGATTCCATAGAGAGTCTGTTATGTGAGAACACTTTCTGAGAGCAGAATAGATGGCAATTTGCGTCCAAGTGCTACTAAAGGCTGGGGGAAAGGCTGGGTGCTTGTGGCCAGAGATCCAGGGAGGAGGGACAATCTGCTCAGCTTGCGTTTGTATCCAGCAGGGGGCGCCCGCTGCCTTCGCCAGCTCTCCCAGACCTGAACCAGGCTGCTGGGCTGCTGGGCTGGTGGCCTGCGCAGGGCCGGTCCAGACAGACCTTGGGGACACAAGGAGGGATAGCAGAAAGTGACAGGGTTGGCCTGTGCGAAGCCAGGGGCACTCCAAGAGGGGTTTATCCCCCCGTGGTTCTTTTTTAAAAATATATATATTTTATTGATTTTTTACAGAGAGGAAGGGAGAGGGATGGAGAGTCAGAAACATCGATGATCCTGTACACTCCCTACTGGGTATGTGCCCGCAACCAAGGTACATGCTCTCGACCGGAATTGAACCTGGGACCCTTGAGTCCGCAGGCCGACGTTCTATCCACTGAGCCAAACCGGTCAGGGCCCCCCCCCTCCCCCGTGGTTCTTAAAACGAGCTGCCAAGCTGCATCACGCATTTTCCAAAAGATGCAGACGCTTCAGCCCACCTGGCCCCTCCTCCCACATCAGAATCTTCTGAGTGAGGCATCAGGGATCTGAACTTTTAAAACTTTAAGGGCATGCTGTAAGGGAGAGAAAATCAGTAAACTGGAGCTATAGATATTACCATAGATAATGCTCAAAAATGTAATGTTGAGGGGAAAAGCAAGTTGTCAAAATGCATAGAATTTAATGTGCATATAAGGAGAGGAGGGAGGAGAGTCCAAGGCAAAAATACAAATGGCTGCCTATTCCCATCTGAATCGCACCCTCATGCCTCCTTTTGTGTGTGGGCACTCCAGCAAAGGTTCAGCTCCACTTACTCCCCACCCTACCACTCCCCAAAAGGTCACCCCTTGGCCTAGGGTGCACACTTAGGTAGATGGCTCCCCCTCAGGAGGGTGCACCCTGGAGAAAGTCCCGCTTTGGCACTGCATAGCGCTGGAGGCTGTTTGGGCCTGGAGTTCTGGGGTCCAGAGTAACCTGACTGTGGTCTACAAGAGGCTCACAGACTCCATGTGTGCATGTTCCCTTGGAGTCCTTGCCCCATGAGGGCACAGACAGAGAAGGGCCAGAAGGAGACCCCTCTAAAACTCAGGGTCCAAGACCCGACTTGCCTGGGTCTAAGAACTATACTGTATAGATGAACATTATTTATATAAAGAATAAAACATGCAAAACAATATGCTGTCTATTGATAGATAAGGAAGTTATAAAAGATTTTTAAAAAATATTTTTACTGACTTCAGAGAGGAAGAGAGAGATAGAAACATCAATGATGAGAGAGAATCATTGATGGGCTGCCTCCTGCATGCCCCCTACTGGGGATGGAGCCCACAATCCGGGCATGTGCCCTTGATCAGAATCAAACCTGGGATCCTTCAGTCCACAAGCCAATGCTCTACCCACTGAGAAAAACTGTCTAGAGCTAAAAGATTTTTTTAAATGCATGGGAATAAAAACATGCATGTCTGGCTCTCTGTCATGTGAAAACAAAGCAAGAAGGAGGCTGCCTGCAAGCCAAAAAGAGCCCTCACTAAAACCCGAGCATACTGGCATCCTGAGCTCTGACTTATAGTTTTTGGAACTGTGAGAAATAAATTTCTGTTGTTTAAGTAAATAACAGCAAAAAACAAACAAATGAACAAAAATGGATATCTGATAACATCAAATTCAGAATGGTGTTACCTCTAGGGAGGGGATGGGGAGTGAGGTTGCAGAAAGATGTACAGGGGTCTTCAAATTGTGTCTGTCATGTTAAATTATTTAATACTAGAGGCCTGGTGCATGACATTCATGCACTTGGGGTGGGAGTGGGGGGGTCCCTCAGCCCGGCCT